TTTAAATATATTAATATCTTATTTAAATATATATATATATATATATTAATATATTTAAATTAAATCATATATATATGATTAAATTAAAGCTTTAGCTCCCCATAATGCGGCACCAAGCGGGTCGTGGTCAGAGCGAAGTATGGTCATTATTATATGCTTCTGAACTGCTTTAGTGGCCAAGAGAGAACGTAATGAACTTCAGAAAAGTCATTTAGTGAGGTATGGATAACCAGAATTAACTAGAACATTTATAATTTTTCATGCATTTATGTGCAGAAGCGTGATGATGTGACAGTAAAGCCTGAAGATCTCAAGATTTCGACTCTGCCTTCAATCTTTGCTCCCCAGAAAGGTCAAAGTGAAATTTGTTCTATATGCAGCGTGCCGTCTAAGCGTTACCCAATTGGATGGAATGGCCTACGATCGAAACCGTGCTTGAAACAGAACGTCAGAAACTGGAGTTGCGAATATCTTTCCACGCAGGGCTGATGGTCAAAATCATTTTTTTCTGGAGAAGAGAGTCTGAAAATTAACAATAGGCTCTTTATTATGGCTGAAACAGTACTCGCAAAAAATGTCAATGAACGGAAAACTCCACTTGGAAATAACTGCCTACTTTGTGTTATCTCTCGGAACACCAATGGTTGAATTTTACAGATGCCTTAAACGCGTTTATTAAAAATTGTGTCCATGACCTCGACGTGATAAGCATTATTAGATAGCTCCCAGGTACAACACATTAATCAGATTCCTGATTGCTCATATCCATGAAGAGAGGTATTTCGAGTAATAATTAATGAAGCCAAAAGCATTTTGCTCCAGGTTGTCATCGTTATTCGACTGAAACCATAAATCCAGAAACAAAATGACTCGTGTGTTTACTTTCGGCTGGCTAGCAGTAAGTAAACTTTGCAATTCTGTTTTTCGACAACAAATCCTGCATTGGTAAACAACCGGCATTTGAACTGATGCTGAATAACATGCAGTTCCCATTATCCTCAAATGAACGACCTGCCAATCATTATTAAGCTTATGGCACCAAAGCACAGCGGGCCGAATTCCTTGCATAGGGAAATTATCAATTAATTAAAATCTGTTTACTCTGACCGTGATGCTCGAACTCGCTACCATAAAGTAGAGAACAAGTTAATCACCCATTGTGCAGCTGTCCCCTCTCTTTCGAATTCGTTCCCGTTTTCTGAGCATAGCACTGAAATACACAGTCAAATTTTTTTCTTTTCTATGCAAATTGTGGTATAATTAACAAATTATGCATTCTGCTTAGAGTTTACATGTAACTGTCATTATTTGCAAGTTACAACCAACCTAATAATGACCGCTATCAGAAATGCTGTTTTTGGTGTAACACGTTTTTAGACGATGACTTTTAGTAGATAGTTTCCTGCCTCTTTAGTACTTGCCTCAATTACACTGCGATATTGGACGTCTTCTGTTCTACCTTTCATTCATGGAGTTAATGGATCATGTGACTGCATCGTAGTATTCTTAATAATGGTCTTCCATACGCAACTATGGGAAAACGGGTAGTGCAATACAGCGTGAAATCTGATTTCGGATGATTTATGCGTTTTCTGACATACCCCGGCGTGCGATCATAGGCAGATGTTTATGTGCTAGCATATAAAAGTATAGTCCTGAAACATCATTCGTGATGGTAGCCCTAGCGGACATATTTGCGCGAGATACATCTAACACGGTAGGTGCTCAAATACCTCGGAGCCACAGCTGATTTACAAACGCCCCCTGGCAACGAAAAGAAACGGATACGATACACTGCGAAATCTGATTTGGAGGAGTTATGCATTATCTGTTCGCAGAAATATTACATGCCATGCACGTTCTCTGCTGTATACTTGCTTCCCTCCTAGAGTGGTACTCCTTTAATCGATAACGAAGGGAAAAATGAGCAAGGTCTCGATCAGAAGTTCAAACAAAGCCTTTGGTTTTTGATTCGGGGGTCAGTCGACTATATTTTCAAGTTACACGGAATAACCGTAATCACCGAACCGTATGATCGGTTACTGTGCATTCAAGTGTTTCAGTTGTGCATTCACCGTTTATAAAATTTGCTGGTTTTTAATCAGCTCTCGGGTTGATCAAGATAATATTACGGCATTAAGGAACCACCTCACGTGAAATGCAAACTGCGCCATGCCCCCTCCCCACGTGAATTGCTGTTCGAAGGAAGCGAACGTCATATGTTGCCAGACTAGCATAAGAAAGGTATGGTGCAACTTACGTAGAAATCTTCTTGTCCATCTTTTTCCGGCGACACATGGTGAAGCCGATCCACAGCAAAACGAAGCACATGGAGACGGCGGCGCATATGTAGAACACCATCGGCCAACCGTTGTTATCGCTCTCTTCTCCGTGGTTGTCCGAGATGTAAGCAGCCAGGGGGTAAACGGTCAACGTGCCCAGCTGGCGCCCGGCTGTCGTCCATGACAGGGCGTTGATTCTGGCCGCCGGGGTGAACTGCTGAGACAGCAGCTTGGATGTGGTCGGATTGATGGTCGCGTCGGCTACGCCGATCAGCATTCGCAGGAACATCACCAAGCCGGGACCGACCTTGGTCGAGACCGGTATGGCGGCGCTGGCGAACGCGGCCACCACCAGGCTGATGGGCAGGATGAGGCGAGCGTCGCTTCTGTCCACCAGCGGACCCAACGTTGGCGCCAGGATGCGACCCCAGCTAATCGCCGACAGCACCATGCCTTGTACTCGTGGC